AAAATGCAGTAGATTATATCTCAAATGAAATGATGCCTATCTGCATATCAAATAGATAATAAAATGCGAGATGGTAAGTTAGTAGATATAAAAATGGGGAGAAAAACTTGTTAATTTTGCAATGAGAGCAGTTGCTATCATTTACCTTAGAAAATAAGAGGCAATAAAGAGAACAAGGCAGGGAAAGTGGAATGATAGCTAGAACAGCAGTTTTCAATTTTGCAGTAAAAGCAGTTGATTCGCTGAGAAAGGCTTTTGCAGTGAAAACAGTTGATTTGCTGAGAGAGGTTTCTGCACCTGTTAATTTTCGTCGCCTAAATGACTCTGAGCAACGAACGAAAGGATAACAATATTGTTATAGCTTCTCCACAGATAGCTCCTAAGCACGTACTATCCGGTTAGCTATACTTCCAAGATCAATTTTTACTACATATATATTAAAGTAGAAACCAAACTGCAGTAAGCAAATAACCAACATCTAGAATTTAATCCTATGGAAGCGGAAGAGTAAAATCCAAGATAAAAAATATGTTAGAAAATAGTTTGTTAAATCATTTATTCAATAAAAAATTGAATATATTGAATGAAGAAAAAGTACCTTGTTTTAAATGACTGCTTTCCCGAATGACTTATTAGAATGAGAAAAAAAAGAACACGCCTGACGAAAAGTTTCTCCACAGATTACTCAGATGTACTTTCTACCTACATAAAATATTTTCATTACATGTAGAGTAGAAACCAAAATGCAACAAAGTAAAAAATGAGAATAGCTAGAATCCTTTGGAAGAGCTGGGAGAATGTTGTCCAAAGAAAAAACCATGTTAATTACTAAAATGATAAAAAAAAATTGAAGCTTTTGACTTTTCAAAAAAGAAAAATGAATGTAAAGAAGGCAGGGATAGAGAGTACTAGTAGTAGTAGCATATATATATATATATACATACACATACACGTGCGTGCACGTATGTGTATATATTCACACGTTTATTGCAACTAAAAAAAAAAAAAACACCGAAGATATTGTTATGTGGAAATTCAGTTCTTGCAAAATATAAATCAACTGTACAAATTAATTGAAAAAAGAAAATGTACCTTCCTTGAATGACTAGTGCTTTCCCCAAATC